CGCCTTTATTCCACTGAGATCGCTTCTACTTCGTAGCGGCAGCCATCTTATTTCCTGCTTTTCAGCCCGGGCTGAAATTCCGTTTACCCGGGCTGAATTGCGGCCCGGGCTGAATCCTTCTCCATGTAATCGCCAATTTGATTTCATAAGAATTTGTTTCAGAAGCCGGGCTGAGATTTCAGCCCGGCTAAGGGCCTGATTACATGGCGAATTTCAGTCCGGGCTGAAACAAATTCTCATGAAATCAAATTGGCGATTACATGAAGAGGGATTCAGCCCGGGCCGCAATCCAGCCCGGGCTGGAAATCCTAGCCCGGTTTGAAAAACCGGGCTAGGATTTTCAGCCCGGGCAAACGGACTGAAAAGTCTGAAAAAATCCCATGTAATCGAAAGTCACCGTTATTTTAACCATTGGTTAATATTAAGGCAAATTCAAATACGTTATCGATAAAAGAACATTACAAACACAGCCTACCACTGAAAGAAAACAAGTCTCGTAGAATATTCCGACACTAGGACGATGCTACTCCAGGTGCTCAGTGAGAGCCGGAAACGCTCGCAATGACGGCGCGGAATGAAAGCGCTGGCTACTTTAAGTTTAAATGGGCGAATTGTCTGATCTTGATTTTTTGTTTCCTAAATGCAGTGTGTTCATCGTGATCTTGCGGCCAGGAACATCCTTGTTGGGGATGATTACGTTATGAAAATCGCCGACTTTGGCTTGGCAAGGAATGTTAAAGATCTGGAATACTACAGAAAAACCACTGATGTGAGTACATGAAGACTAACCCATGATCTGAATGAGCATTTACCGCAGGAGGAAGACAGAAATGCTATCGAGAAAGCTTTCCCTTCCAGTCATTAATTATCCGATTTCTTGAACTGTATTCACAGGGTCGGCTACCGATAAAATGGCTGGCCATCGAGGCTCTGTTTGATCGAGTCTACACAACGCAAAGCGACGTTTGGGCCTTCGGTATACTGCTCTGGGAGATATTCACTCTTGGTAAGATTGATCAACTGTTATACTCTTTTGTTTGTAACGAGTATGTGACCCCTAAAATAGTATAACAATACACATTGTATGAAGACATGATTGCTCATCGCAGTTATGTACACAACGTAAGCAGCCTGAAAAAAATTCAGGCTTGAACGGGATTCGAACCCATGAACTCTGCGATACCAACATCGCAGAGGTCATGGGTTCGAATCTCGTTCAAGCCTGAATGTCTTTGTCGGACTTCGATTTCACAGCTGCGTAAGCTGTGAATATAACTGCGACGATCAGTCATGTATTCATCTCTCTCTCCGCAGTTCAAATATGTGATCTTTAGTACAAATTGTTTACGGGAAGGCAATTTTAAAACGAAATTTAAGCGAAGTTGATTTCGTTTGCTAACATACCAAAATAATAAGTTATCTAAAGTTAAAATAAGTTATCTTAAGGGCATGCAATAATATCTTTCTTACAATTAATTAAAATGACAACGTTTTGTTGTAGGGGGTTCTCCATATCCAGGGATACCGGTAGAAAAGCTCTTCGACCTGTTGAAGTCTGGCTATAGGATGCAGAAGCCTCAAAACTGTCCAAGCGATATGTAAGTTCAACCTTTTCTCTGCATTTCCATCGCTACACAAAATTGATAAAAGGAAACAGTACAATGCGTGATGGCAAAAACAATCCCAAGAAAGACACGAATGCCAGAACAAAGACGCTGAGCCCCAGTAAAATGATGCCCCACAGCAGATTAATTTTAAGCCAATTGCCCTTCCCTATCTCCAGCTGCAAACTTTGCTAATCTTCAAGTGCCTAACATTAAACAACGAAACTGGTGTGTATCGCAATCTGCAGACCTGCAGGTTTAAATCCTGAACTGAGTTAGCTCTCAAATTCAGCGATCTCCGACCCCTCCTTACGCATAAGGATCATGTTTGTGGGTGGCGATCAACATACTTAGCCTCGATTTAAATTGAGCTTTTGCTCGATCGTACACTCAGGAAGTTTCTCAGGAAATACACTCAAGTATGTTCCTGTACTGGCGTTAAGTGCGCTATCACTGATTACGCAAAAAATGTTGATCAAGCGGTCAGGAAAGCTCAAACTGGTGTGTATGGGCGATTGTCGCTTTGTGAATGGTTGATTCAGCTGTGGCACGGAGGACTACACTGAGGATAGTCAGCGAGTGACTTATCTTTCAAGATGCTATTCCCTAATAAAGTTATTAATTCTACACAGACAGCAAATCGAATCATACGAAGGATTTACGAGGGCAATGTTGCGTACCCGACATAGTTCGAGCACCCAGGATAACATTAGGTCAAATGAAACAAACAATGCATTATATTGGGAAACACGCGATTGTTATTCGAGCACTATCACTATACCACCTTGGAAGTTTCAAGTATAAATGACCCTTTCCCTTTGTTTACTGACTTACGAAAAGAACAAACCAACAGACCTTAATAAAGAATAATCGATTCTAACGCAGAAGACTGACATGTTCTTTATATTTAAAAACTAGATACGACATCATGCTTAATTGTTGGGATGAAAACTCCACCAACAGAGCGTCATTCACACAACTTAGGAAACGATTCGATGCCATGTTGTCATCTATGGCAAGTAAAGTAAGTATCAGTTATTTTCTTAATTGGCTAAGCAATACAAATCCTTCGGTGGATTAGAAGTTACATGTATTTCCCTTCCTATGGCACAAAACATTTGCAGAATGCACCTAAGCTTCAGTGATTGTCCTCGTCTGCTATTAACTCTTTCCTCCCCAGGGTTTAACCTAATGTTTCATGTGGTTCCAGTTTTCATTCTGTTGAAGTTGCTGTCTTTCAGTGGAATGGCTTAGACATTTATTGTTTGTGTAGTAGCGTACGACTAGAAAAAAGAATTTTGATCAGCTGTTAAAAAAAACAATTTCAAAAACAGTTGTAAAAAAACAATTTCTTCCCATTCGTGAGGTGACTTGGTTCTCTACTAATATAACGAAGAGAAAATTACTTTAAATTCGATCATTTATAGCAATTAGGAAATGGCCAGCTCAGTTTTAGGCGCTTTTAATTGGACAACCGCAATAGACCTTCTTAGCTTGGCTGGTTTGTTTTCCCATTACCGACCACGTGATATTCTCAAGAGAGTTGTTCCTTTGCCCATCTAAAAATCACTCAATCACCTACACGTGACTATTTGAAAATTTGAAAGCAGGAATTCTCAAGAGTATCATCACATGGTCTGAAATGGGGCAAAAAAACTGCCCACGCTAAAAAGGTCTCTTGGAAATTGGAAAGTATTGCTTTTTGTGGAGGGAGAAAACCCGGGGGAAAACTCCGGTGAAAGGACCAGAACCAACAACAAACCCAACCCGCTTATGACACTCATTCGGGGGTTTGACAGCAAGAAGTGAAATCCGTAATTTTTTTCTGTCATATTAATGTGTATATTTTCGCACTCTAACAGGAGTATCTGGAAATCTTGGCCCAATCGATAGATGACCTTGCACGCGATATGGAAACACCCATAACGGACGATTCTGACATAAATAATGAAGGTCTAACTGAGTCTTCGTGTTAGCAGCAGCCTGGAGTAAGAAACAAAACTCATTTGCTTGGTCGAATTCCTTCTCTAAAGCCAACTGAGCTACAAGTGAAACTCATTGACGTGAGAAGGTGACAGCATTGGTTAAATGTAAATTGAACCGGGATGCAAGCACAGTACATGGATGGTCAGGAGCTTATTCTCAAGTCGTACTTTGAGACTGGACTAGGATTAAGAAACCAAGTCAACAGAAACACAAATCATCATTGCGTTTCTTATTGGGAGCTGTTTACCAGTGATTCCCACGTAAGGAAAAACAGGCTGACAGCAGTCAACATCAAGTGACAGCTTACAGTAACATGACGTGCAATATCAACGAATCTGTTATGGAAACTTTGCCCTTGGAAAAGTTTATCGCACGACACAGTGTACTGATCTGCCGCAAGCTCACGCTCCATCTTCAACAAAGCCGGCTCTTGTTACTGCGGAGACCAAAAGACGCCTGTAATCATATTCAGTCTTTTCTTTTCAATATGCCTAACTCAAACGTATTCTTTTGTAATAACAGTTCTTTCTGATATCTAAGGAAGCTTTTCCAATTGTAAATTTCTACTCGTGGTAAATGAAGAGCTGCTACATTCTAACACCGAAGTTGTTGCTTTGCCAAACGCGAAGATTTGTTTTATCATTGTTCGCAAATGCTTCGTGATCCGCAGCAGGTTGATAATACGCGGAAAAAAAAGAACAAAGAAATTCAATAACACAACATAAAAAGACATTGGTGCGGCTTGGTCCAATGCGACTTGTAGACTTGACGTATTAGAAAGTGTAGCAGGAAAAATGTCCTAGGCGACTATCGCCATCTTATCTCTCCCTAGTTAATCCACGATTGTTCCAACTTATTTCAATACTCGTAAAATCTTCTCAACGAAGATTTTATTTTGTAAACTTAAGTAGGCCACGTTTATTCCAGACAGTTAAACAGTTTTAGCCGTATTTAAGGTTTGGTGCGGACATCAGAAAATACAATGTCGAATACTTCCTTCGTGCATAATTTCCAGGTAAATTACCTTAACAGAAAAAAGAGAAAAATCATCTCATCCCAGCAAGGATGAGATTAATTTAGCTACGTTACATGGAATTCCTTTCGGAACTACTAACAAGACTATGTGGAAGTCTGTTGTCTGAAAACTGATGTATTCTCCTTTCCTACAAAATGGAAACCTCTATCTTGAGATCTAAAAGCCTAAATGCGCAGACCGAGAAGTTATGACACTAAGAGGAAAGATTTGTCATTGCATTACCATATACACAAACATTGTTCTTTCTTGCATGTTTACGTGCCAAACAAGATAACGTTGTGAACCAGAAGGATTTATGTGGGAAAACAACAAAATGTTGTGAGAAACCCACACTGTGCACTTTCCCTTTTGTTTTTCCTGGTCGTGAAGGTCTTTCTTTTTTTAATTTTATTTTAAAAATGAAAACGTCGGTACCAGGTTAACGATCCACAGAGAGAGGCGGGACTGCCGGCAAGTCCATCAGCAACCCATCAAAAGAAGATATTATTGCTATACATCTTTTACAAACGAAAACTCAGGTCCTCGAGAAAGACTGCCGAGGATATTTGTACAGAATTTCTAGTCTCAACTAAGCAGAGCTAATACTCTTGCATTTTAACCGTGCAAGAATAAGGCTATGCAATAGTTGTGTATAAAAGTAAAAAAAAAAAAGGTTCTCAGTTGAATGGGGATGTTTACATACAGATGTATCTATATTCACAGAGTGATCAGGTTTATTACTAACTAATGTAAGCTTTTAAATAAAAAATGTTTTGCTACACGGGATGCGTCTTGTTTTAGGGGCGTTGAAGATGTAATATATCAAACACCAGAGACTGTGTTTCATCAGGACATCCAAACACAAATTCGAGGTGTTTGGCTTGCCGATGAAACGCTGTCTCGAGTGTTTGATATATCTTCTCAGCTAAGGGACCGTTCATTTTTTATAAGGTAGGGGGGGCTGGTGGGATTTGGCGGGGGGGG